TGAGGAAAATCGGTCCTCACACAGATACACAGTTGGAAAGGGGAGAACTATTTTAATAACTTTTTCAGAAAATTGGTGGATTTCCTTCTTTGATACTGTACCATAACTCTCTAAATGGGAGTTTCTTTCTTTCTTTCTTTCTTTCTTTCTTTCTTTCTTTCTTTCTTTCTTTCTCTCTCTCTCTCTCTCTCTCTCTCTCTCTCTCTCTCTCTCTCTCTCTTCTTTTCATTGTTTATTTATTGAGAGAGAGAGCATGCATGAGTGCACAAGCAGGGTAAGGGTAGAGAGAGAGGGAAAGAGAGAATCCCAAGCAGTTTCCAAACTGTTACCACAGAGCCTGAAGTGGGGCTTAAACTCAGGAACCATGAGATCATGACCTGAGCTGAAGCCAAAAATCAGATGCTTAACCAACTGAGCCACCCAGGCAACCCTTCAGTAGTAGTTTCTTGAATTTAGATTGCAATAGTGATTCTGAAACAACATCAGTGAATTTTTTGTACTCTGTTATGTTAAAATCCATTCTCATTGGTCCACCTTAGAATTAATTGAATTTTTATTTTGTAACATGTACTAGCCATTTGAAAAATATTGGTTTGCAGAGTTACTTACATCGTCCAAATGTTGTCATATTTCATTATATAATATCAACAAATGATACTCGTGAATGTCACCAACAATCTTAACAGAGAGCTGGAAAATTGTGAAGCTTAGTGTGGCAGATACAAGTTTTCAAAAATTCTAATTTTAACTTAAAATATGGAATTTTATCATTGGCAACCAGTACTGTCATTTGTTTTCTTTGACAGGCTCACTTTCTTTATGGTTGAGAAAATGACTGCTGAATACCAAGTCAGAATCACCATGATTTGAAGTCTGTCAGTCACTCTTTCAAGTAAAAATCACAGTCTACAGAAGTGGTTAGTTCATTTCACAATTCAACACACAATTGCTTTTCCAGCATTCATCTCTGTTGTGCATCAGAGTTGCTTTATGCACACTTCCCATTTAGTGACAGAACAGGGTCAGCAAGCATTTTTCTCTAAAGGGTCAGAGAGTAAATATTAGGCTTCGTGGACCACTGAATTTAGTTTCAGTTGAGCATTGTAAGTATTCAACTATGTCACTGTGGTGTGAAAGCAGCTTTAGACAAAATGTAAACAAATGGGCATGGCTGTGTTCCAATAAAACTATTTACAAAACAAGAAGCATGTCCAGGTTGCCCAACAAGCTATAATTTGCCAGCCCCTGACAATAGAATATTAAAAAGATGAATATTTTAAGGTCAGGATTTAATAAAATCTATAACTTCTGCTTCATCAAGGACATGCCTCTCAGTAGCATTGTATCTCATCACTCATTCTTCCATCTCCACTCCACTCCACTCCCCATCCTTACCTCTCTCCATTGTGTGGCACTCCTCTCTGAGGCTAACACTAACATCTCTAGAATTCAGAAATTCTAGAGCTCCTTCTGCCTCTAGAATTCCCCATAAGTTATGTCTGCTCTTTTCAACCTTACCTCTTTTTGGCTTTTCCTACTTAGATTTAAATATGCTTAAATGTGTTCCATCTTTAAACCTTAAAAACCATCCTTTGACCCTCTCCCCTTCACAACTAGTCTGTACTTGAGCTTTATTTCCTGCGCATGGCAGCAGGCCGATAGTTGTATGTATTCTATTCTTGGGGTTCGGTTTGTGAAGACTCAGTAGTAGTTGACATTGGTGATCCCTAATTGCTTCTTGAATTTTGTGAAGCTCTCTTCTTAATTGGCTTTCACAATTTCACTTTCCTGGTGGGCTTCTCTTTGCCATCTGTTACCTCACTCATTTTTCTTCCATTTATCTCTAAATGTTAGTCTTTTTTAGCTTTGATTCTTATTTCTTATTTATAACATAATCTCCATGGGGGGAGAGGTATTACCTCTTCTACTTACATGATTTCAGCTCCCATTTCATTGCTGATGACTCCTAAATTTGTATCTAGGTCGAGTGTTGGTTCTGAACTGTATTTATTTTATTTTATTTTATTTTTATTTTGGAGCATGAGCAAGGGAGAGGAACAGAGGGAGAGAGAAAGAATCTTAATTAAGTAGGCTCTGCACTCAGAGTGGAGCCAGACACAGGGCTTGATCCAATGACCTGAGCCAAAATCAAGAGTCAGACGCTCAACTGACTGAGCTACCCAGGCACCCCAGCCTGGACTTTAGAACATGCTTCCAGGCCACTATCAGACATCTCAACATTGATCTTCGCAGCTACTTCAAATGTTTTGTGTTCAAAATAGTTTATGTCTTCTTTGAAACCAGCTTTCCTCCCTTTCCAGTAAAAAGCATTTACTGGACCCCAAACCAGAAATCTGAAATTGGTCATGATTCCTTTTCCTTTCCCCTCTAATATCCATTTGCTCACCTGGAGACATCAGTTGAGCCTCCTGAATATTTTTCTACTCCATTCATTATCTCCCTCTATCCCTACTGCCTTTTCATTAGCCAGGCTCATCTCATCTCATTCTCAGCTGGGCTTTCTAACTTACTCTCTTCCTGTATTTTAGTATATCTTTCCAGGCATATCTTATCCCATGCCTCTGTTTACCTTTGCAGATAAAATTTAGTAGTCACTGAATGATGTGGTTGACTATAAAAGTGAAGTCTTATACTTCTCTGCTAAAATCCTTCCAAGGCTCCTGTAGGGTGAAATCATGTGTGAGATCCCTCACTGGTCATGCCCTTGCTCTTCAGTTAAGTTCCTCCCCATCACCTGCCCACACATACCCAGCCCCCAAACTGCCACAGTTCTCCAAGGACATCTCACCTCTTAGGATTCCACACTTTGCTCACTTGGTAAAAATGTCCTTCTCCTCTCCCATGGCATAGCTGACTTTAGGATCCTCCCCATGGATGCTTTCCTAGTACCCTACTCTGTTCTCGTAATTCAGTGTGTGTATAAGAATACTTACAAACATTTGTTTTCAGTGCCTACTATGTTAAGACACTTTGCAATCCTTATAATAGTCCTGAAAGGTAGTAATTATTACCTCCTATTTTAAAGATAAGGGCCTAAATGAAAGAGATATTTTATTTGTTAGAGTTTGTATATCTAGGCAGGTGCTAAGCTAACCCTGGACCTGGGCTCTCTGGGCTCTATCTTGTTGCTTCTCTTTACTCATTTCTTAGAGGCTTTCTCAATTATCTGACCAGGTATTTGTCTCCTCTGACCAGAAATATGTTTCTGTATCCCCAGATCCCAGTTCAATAAATGAATGAATAAAATAATTTGTGACTGAAACAGAATTTCAAGTATAAAGTAGTCCCATGATACAGTCTCAAGAAACCATGTCACAGCTTTGTGATTTTTCTTTAAAGAATTGTTTGCTTATATTTTGGGCTAAAGTATGGCGTTTTTGGTAAATTTTGCTTAACAAATATTTATTGTGCACAGCGCACTCCACAGAAAACAGACATTGGCATGACTGTTGCCATCGTCAAGGAGCTTCGGTATGGTAGGAATTTACGAGGGATACACCTCTAACCTGAATACCCAGCGGGAACAAAATGCCTCAGATTTTAAAACAGAGGGAGACCACATCGGCCTGCACTTAAAAGGGAGCAGTATTTATTTCAGGGATGCAGTATCAACTTTTTTTAAACCTCATTTTTAATAAAATAGATAAATGAATAAAGCAAATGTATGGCTTATTGATTACTGAGCGTGGATTTTGGTCAGGAAAAGGATGGGTCTGTCTCTGCATTTGTTGCATGGGATTCTCTTGTAACTGAGTATCACCTGCAGTTCTCTGCAGGGTGGGTGCGGCTTGTAAGAGAAGTCTTGTAGGATTGTCCTGAGGAATCATACTGTGCTGTTGGAAGTACCAGTTGACCCTTGAACAATTCCAGGGGTTAGGGGCATTGACCACCCATGTAGTCAAAAATCTGAGGCTAATTTTTGACTCCTCCAAAATTTAACGACTAGTAGCCTACTGTTGACTAATAGTGACCAGAAGCCTTACTGGTAACCTAGTCAGTTAACACATATTTTATGCTACATGTGTTATGAACCATATTCCTTACAATAAAGTGAGAAGAGAAGGTTACTAAGAAAATCATAAGGAAGAGAAAATACATTTATGGTACTGTACTCTTAGAAAAATCTGTGTGAAAGTGGACCCTTGCAGTTCAAACCCATGTTGTTCAAAGGTCAGCCGTACCACCCTCAAGTCTGCGCTGCCCCAGTGTGGCTTAGCTTCTGTCCCGTGGCACATTGTCTTTGGTTGCCTCATACCTCTTCGGCAGCACCCGCCACTTTTTCTGAATGCTAGGCAGCCCACTTTGGCCACTATATAAATTTTTTTTTCCCTGAGGTACGACTGGAATCATAGTGATAATAAGTAGATATGGACAGTGAATGTATCATAAAGGTTTCTCTCTTATAAACTCAGGTCTCACCCTAGTAATTTAATGCATGCATGGTGTTCTTTGGTAGCTTAGGTAAGTGTGATGGAATTTTTTTTTTTTTTTACTGTTTGCTCTCATCTGCCACTTAGGTGGTAAGTATATTTATTAGGACCCATCAGAATTAAAATCCAGGCATTTTAGCAGCTTCGTGTTTCAAAATATACATTTATGTTATTGCCTTCAAATGCTGTGTAGAATGAGTACATTTTTGAGACATTGTACTAGGAAAGAAGAATTAACATGAGGCTTAGCTTTCCTGTAATTTGTGATTTTAAAGAGTGATATTGGTACCAGAAAACCAATAAAATTCAGAATAGGACACAGAATTCCTTAGAAAAAAATAAGCTCAAGAAAAAAATAAATGCTTTGGGTAAAACATGTATTTATGTGTTCATGTGTAAAGATACTGTAATTTCATTTTAATTTGGTTATTATTGTCAAAGCAATTTTGGGACTCCTGTTTTAGTAAGCAGGTTTAAAAGTTTAAAACTTGAAATGAAGTTTTGTGTGTAATGATTAATATCATTGTTGGATTTCTCCTACTTTCATAGATTTGATCCAGGCTACCAATGAGACCAATGTTAATATTCCTCAGATGGCCGACACACTCTTTGAGCGGGCAACAAACAGTAGCTGGGTGGTTGTATTTAAAGCTTTAGTCACAACACATCATCTCATGGTGCATGGAAATGAGGTAAAGGAAGTAAATGAAGTAAACTTAACTTTTCTTTTTTTGGGTGGGGGAGGGAGGCTTTTATGGAGGGTTCTTTGACTTTTCACTAATTAGGAGAAGAAGAAGAGGAAATATATGATTCAAAATCATGGGGAGGAGTATAATTCTAATCTTCTCGTTAGCTATTTTTCAAAAAATAAATGTTAGACATTCTTTTGGAGACATTGAAATATTAAATATTACTGGTACTTAAAGTGTATATACCATATAAATGCATTAGTGGGCAAAAATGTCAGGAGAAAGGAACAATGAAATAATTTTTCCCATTAGGAATAGTCTTTAAATGAAAATTGCTTTCATAAAGATGCTTAATTTTGGAAAATATTAATAAAATAAAAATTACCCATTTTATATGGGATGCCTACTGAATCATATTAAATTGCAGTGTTTCTGTTATATAAGAAATGAAAGGTCATAAAATTTAATTCTAATTCAATGAGTACTTTTCAGTCTTTTTTCCCTTTCAGAGAAAGTGAGAGTGAGAAGCTTTATAACTGAGTAAAAAATAAAATCATTATGACAATTTGTAGCATCCTTTAGTATCAGAAATTGCTTAAAGGTATGATTTGGGAATATTGTTTTCATTCTAATTTTTGTTTTTCAGAGATTTATTCAGTACTTGGCCTCTAGAAATACACTATTCAATCTCAGCAATTTTTTGGACAAAAGTGGATCCCATGGTGAGAATATTTATGTTTTCTAATTTTTTGGATAATGCTTTTGATGCAGGTTTTTTTAATTTTTGAAGTGAGGTTATTAATCTGTAATTAGTGTGGCTGATAGTTCTGTTGGGTATTTAGGAAAAAGCTTAAAAGTAATTATATTGTTACTTTGTAGAGCTTCAAAATATTTAATTTTTAGACAACTCAGCATATAGATAACATTAACTTTACTTTTTGTCTTTTTCAGTGTTTACCTTAATAGTCAGTATTCTAGACCCACAATTGTTTATGAAAGTACAAAAGGCAATGAAATGAAAGGTACTTTCCCAATTAAAAAAAAAAGATTCCAGCCTTGAAGCAACGTTCTTCATAAATTAGAATTTGAACTGCAGTCATGTGTCCATTCATCATACTTACTGGTTGCCTATCATGTATAAGACAAGCGCATCAAGCAGGTAGTTCTCAGGTAGCTATGCGTATTAAGACGGAAACAGCCTGTTTTTTGAAGTGATAAACAAAAATGCAAGGAAAATCAGAAAAGATAATTAATCTGTACAAGGATGGTAGTATAACGAAATTGAAATGTCTTAGAATGTCTCATGCCTAAAGTATTTTTGCTTGCAGTAGGATTTAAAATGAGGCCTTTCTGATACACTTAGTGACCTCATTCTAGCATTATTTACATTTGGGGAATTTAAAAAAATTGGTACTAACCAAAGCACAATTGAAGGTATTTTATTAATTAGTTTTACTTCTTCTGCCCCTCTCCCCAGGTTATGATATGTCTACCTTCATAAGGCGCTATAGTAGATATTTGAATGAAAAGGCTTTCTCTTACAGACAGATGGCATTTGATTTTGCCAGAGTGAAGAAGGGGTATGTTTGGGTTTTTTTTTTTTCTTTCTCATATTTATTTGAACAGAATAAGTCTTTGGGGAATACTCGACTTTCCTTAACTAAGCTTAAATGCCAAATAATTTGGTCATGAAGGCCCAGTTTACAATCACCTGAAAAAAGAGACTCAATAGTATTTTAGAACTCAGCCTTGAGATTGTAATATGTATTACTTCATGTATATTTTCATGCAGAAAATCTAATTTGCTGCCCAGAGTTGACATGGTATAACATTTTATTTGTTAAAATCAATTCAAAATTCTTAAACACATATATTCCTTTAAATAATTTTAAATGGAGAAATTTTAAACAAAGGTCATTCAAAGTTCAAAGTACAGTGGCTCTAGTTGACAGTAGTTATTTCAGTGTGTTTTGATTGAGGCAAAACTGAACACACACACACACACACACACACACGCAATTGAACTGATTAGTAATACTAACCATGGATTTAGAAAACCTCATCGAAAGAGAAGCACTTGATTTTAATACATGATTATCATTTATTTCCCTCTAAATTGATGCTGAATTTCATCAGAAGTGTTCTGCCATAAATTTGTGCAGATCTTGTATCTGTTCCTGATTTGAAATAATGGCAAGATATTTTAAGTTTAATATTTTAATCTCAAGAATCCACACAAAAAGACAAAATTCTATTTTTTTTCTAATACTGACCCAGGCTTAGCTTTGATACACTTTTTTTTATCATGGTGGTGAACAATATAAACTTGCCCATTCAAAATAATTAGCTTCTTGTGAGTGAACATTTTATAGAATGTTCAGTTTTTACTTCATCTCCTTCTCATTATGGATGATTCTAGTTTACATGCTTTCCTCTGACTTCCTACATGGGCCTGGGCAGCCATGGCTGTTGTTCCCAGCTACACTGCGGCCTTTCTGTAGTAGGTCCATAGCCTTCTTAGGAACTTCTACACCCTTTTATGGGCACTTAAGGATACTTTGGGATGCTTTCCCTACCCTCGAAGTGGGAGAGACCCTGAAAGTTGCCATCATTAGCCTGTTCACATCACCTGGGTATTTCCCTCAGTTACTTCAATACTGCCATCACTGGATGCAGGGGCCCCCTAAGAGGCCTGTGGGTAGGCACAGGGTTCAGTGCCTTCTCTGATGCACCCTCCGTCATGAACCTCTGGTTGTGTCCTCTGCAGCTAGTTAAATTCTGTCTCCTTTTGGCCAAACTGTGCATATCCGCTTGCAGTTTTCTCCCCTTGATAGTTAATAGTATACACTCTGCACTCCCAGCCCTACAGGTTTCAAAAGCTTCTAAGACATGTGTTCTCTCTTTCTCTCAAAAACAAGCCAATAAACTGGCATTCACAAAAACGTATACCTCTGTTATAGATTTGGAAAAGTACATCCAATAATTCAACTGATCTCTTTTATCCAGACCACACTGCTTTCTTCCTTAGGGCAATGCAGAGAAAAAGAAAGCATTGCCTGTGTGATTGAGGAACGATAACGGGTAAGAGGAAGTAGTGTAGAGAGGGTAATCAACTACAGCCTCTTAATATCTCAAAATCATCCCGTAAGATTAACAGGGAAATGGTGGGGGGCAGCTTAGAAGAATGCATGTGGTCTTGAGTTTTCCATATACAAGTGAGTTTTATCTTTCTCTTTTTTTAAAAAAATTGTAGGGCCGATGGTGTAATGAGGACAATGGCTCCTGAAAAGCTACTAAAGAGTATGCCAATACTGCAGGGACAAATTGATGCGCTGCTTGAATTTGATGTATGTATCTCACTAGAAAATGTTTCTTACACAGTCAATACTGTCTTTTGTTTGAAGGTGGGCTACAGGTAAAGCTGGGAATATGCTCAGGAAGCAGATTTAGATCTCCCCCGTTTCAATGAACTAGAAGAACACTTCGTTTAGTCTCTTCGCACAGTAGAGATGACCTTGGTTGCCCAGTTTGGGCACTTTACCAGGTGTTTACTTAAGTCATGGAAAAATACAAATGGTGTGTTCTCAGAACCCCACTTCAGAACAGGATGATGGTCTTCTGTTGTGTTTGACAGGATGAAGAAGCTACAAGATGTACCTTTAGGCAGCTAAATAACTTAGCCTGCTCTTAGAGGCCATTTTATATAGATAGCTTAGATGATACGATCCACCAAAGAGAATTATCTTTGCTTTGTCATCATCTTTCTTCCTAGCGATACCAATGTGATATGTGTCTTAAAACCATACCTGTATCTTGAGTGTGATAAATACACTGACCTACATATGTGATAAGATCATGAAGAAAAGCACACACTGCGTGTGCACGCGCGCGCACACACACACACACACAAACTGGTGAAATCTGAATAAGTGGGGAAACGGGAAATCTGAATAAGTACAAGTGAAACTGGGGAAATCTGAATAAGATTGGTGGATTGTAGCAATATCAATATCCTAGTTGTGATATTGTACAGTAGTTTTGCAAGATGTTGCCATTGAGAGAAACTGAATAAATTGTACATAGAATTGCTGTATTTTTTTTTACAACTACATGTGGATTTATGATTATTTCAAAATTAAAAGCTTCAGTAAACATGTCTGATTCACAAAAATAAAATATTTCTGACACGTGAGAAGATTCTTGACTCACATTAGCTTTCCTCTCTTTTGGTGGTTGCCTGAAACAAAGATTTCCCTCCAATATTAGTAACTTAAAATTTCTGCTAACATTACACAGTTTAGTCTGTAACTGAGTCCTGGTCACAACATTCATCTCTTGTGAAATTTCAGTAAAATCAGCAAAGCATCTTGTTTTTTTGATGGATTTTACAGTAAAGATTTCACTAAGTATTTATGGAATTGCTTCTCTTAACTTTTTTTTCCTCTTTATTCATTTATTTTTCTTTGCTTTTCTTGCCCTTAAAAACAGTGCTGTCTTGGGGGGGGGGGTCATACAGGAAAAAAGAACAGACCCTTGAGGAGTTGGGAACAAGGGTTGGGGATGAGGAGAAATTATTCTTCTTTGCATTTGTGATTAGAGTGTTTGGTGGATGGGTGAATGTTATAAGTCTCAAGAATTATTTTGGAGGTCGGTGACTAAGGTGTCTACTCCCCATGTGTGTGCTTTCTCGCTAAGTCACTTCAGGTCCCTTTGAACCCTTCCACAGAGACCTTTACATAGGGGAAGTGGAAGAATATAATATAGCATAGTAAAAGTAACAAAAGACTAGATGTTTAGAAGTGTATTTGATTGACCTGTGGATCATTGGTCAAATAGGATGTATAGATGTCATATAATTGATAGGACTAACTCCACTGACTGAAACTGAAGCAAAAAATATATATACAGTCCATCTTTTAATATTGGTAGAGTTACTAAAAGAGTTATACAAATTTATAGAATGTGAATTAATTTCTTAGTAATCATTTGAGACATTTCCATGTGCTCTGAGAAAAATTGTCATTTAATGACATGCAATTAACATTAAATTTTTATCTTTTTTTAGGTGCATCCAAATGAGCTAACAAATGGTGTCATAAATGCTGCATTTATGCTTCTTTTCAAAGATCTTATTAAACTTTTTGCTTGCTACAATGATGGCGTTATTAACTTACTTGGTATGTAGAACTGCTAATGGTATGGTATCTTTGAATAAAGACTGTATCAGAATGCAAAGATTTGGATACCATAGACTTACTATGTAATAATCTAAATATATGATTCATCGAGGTCACATTTCTCTGTTCTTAGTCAAGAGTAAGTGCAGGAAACAGCACTGTAGATGTTTTAAGCAGGAAGGGATTTTATACAGGGATTTTGGTGCTTACAAAGTATTGGAATTACTGAAGGTTCTAGGCTTTGCCTCTTGGACTAAGTCCCAATATGTTCTACTCTACTGTGCTAACAGCTACCTCTGGTACCACCTGTAGAGATGTGTAGGGAATAGGAAGCCACTTGTCACCTCATCAAGTATAAGGGGTACTCTAGCTCCTAGGGTCCCTGACCCATATAACCCAACAGTGGTGAGCAAGGTACCATATCTTGGCCAGTGGTTCAGAGCATATACTAGAGTGTTTAACTTCTTAAGGTATCTTCTTCGATACCTTTAAAATAGTGTCTTCTGTAGACCATTCCATCATTATGTAAGGTCAGCTATTTCTGGACTGAAGGGATTCATGCTACGACTGACAAATTCTGTGGGATGCATCTGTTGTCTCACTTCTTGTGCAGTAAAATAGAAGTAGGATTGTGTGAGATACCGTGATGGGGAATAATTCCACAGATGGTGGCACTGGCAAAGCACTATGGGCAGAGGTGATAAATCCATATCCAGGATGAATTATCTATTATGCTCTTTTCCTTGGTAAAAGGAATTAATCCTTAACCTGGTACTTGGAGGATGACTCTGTACTCCCTGGATTATGATGCCGTGGTAGAAGTTCAGCATTGATCTCTGCTTTTGACAGACTAAGGGCTTAGCAACAGTGGCAGATACATCAGACTATGTGGTTGGACCTATTCACAACCTCCATTCTGATGTAATCACTTTGTTCATCAGTGTATGGAGTCCTCTTATCCCCCCGATCATTGAGAACCTTTTTGTGGCATATGGCCTTTGGTCTACATTTGCATGGAATGAAAATAGTCTCATGCTCTTTATCCTTTCTGAGAGGTCCACCCACTCCTTTTCTCCAGACCTCGTCACCCATCTTCCAGTTTTATTTTTTCTAAGTTCCTGGTCATCCAGGCCAGTAGTTTGCTCATATTTTGGGGGTAGTTCCATTTGTCTCACCATCTTTCCTTTGACCTAAAGTAGAATTCAGATTGATATACTGTTTGAAGTTTGGCCTACAGTGAAAGATTTCTTTCCACTCTCAAGGTCATCCCTTTGTGGGGATTTAATGATTCAGCAAACCACTTTTCATTAGTGCCAGCATGAGAAACCATCTCTAAACCAACCTTGAATTCTTTTTCTCCTCAGTCTGCTGGTTATGGGGAGCTCCCCAGAGGGATTGGAGGGAGAAATGCAGTGCAGAAGAGTCAGTGTGCTGGGAATATGAGCCATCTGTCTGTACAGCCTGCACGGGGATTCAGAGTTGACTTGAGGCTGACCTCTTCCATACCACTCTCATTTGATAATAGAGTGTTCTTGCGCTTGCCCAGCTTATGGGTCTGTAAATTAGATAACAATTGAGGTCTTATGATCACTTGATATTCTATGGTTAGAATCTCAGCCTCTATAAGCAAGCCAAGAACAGTTTTTCCAAAGGAGATTAGTTACTGTCTGAAGAAGACATGGCGCTGCTCCAAAGCACCAGAGGCTTCCACTGTATTTTCCTATTGGAGTGTGCCAGATGCATTCTGCAGCATTTGGATCTGCCGCAGACACTTTGAGTACTTTTAGGTTTGTGGGAACAAAGGCCCATGTGGCTCTAGTTTGGAGCAGTTGCAGAACCTTCCCCTGATCTGGATCCTACTTATATCTGACACCATCCCTGATACTCATTTTAGAGCTGAGCACACACATATTGTATATGTTACCTCCAAAACTAAAAAAGCTCAGCAAAACTTTTGCCTACATTTTAGTTATAGGGGATGCATGAAGCAATTTGTCTTTGACATGGAGGGGACCTCTGGACCCTAAGAAACTTTGTTGATGTGGCAGGTCTCTGAACTTTCATAAATTCTGTCTCCCACCCCATGACATACATGTGACTTATCAAGGCATCCAGCATTACTGAAATTCTTGCCCACCGGGTACAGTCAGCCTGATATCGTTAGCGTGATAACCCATGGGATCATGACAGCTAGAGAGGTTGATATCCTTGAAATAAGACAGCAAGTGTATGATATCATCCCTGCCAGATGGAAGCAAACTACTTCTGATGGGCTCTGTTTATTGAGATAGAGATAAAAGAGTTTGCTGGTTTGATAGCTGCCCATCAGGTGTCAAGAGTGATGCTGATTCTATGCTGGTAAGGAGGATACATCTGGGAGTCTGCAAGTCGGGGTCATCACCTGATCAGATTCACAGTAACCTATTGTAAATCTCTATCCACAACCCATTTCACAGACCAGATATGCAGGTTAACTGAGGAAATGATGGAATTGCTACCCCTGTGTCTTTCAAGAGGTCAGGAAACCAGTGTGGGGACTCTGCTAGTTTCATAGTGTTTCTATTAGAAATATATATTCAGGAAACTGGGGAAATAACCACAGATAGTGTAATATATCCACTGGATGCACTTTTCTTTTATCACCTAATCCCCAAAAAACTTCAACCCAAATTGGTAGAATGAATAGTGACATTTTGGGTCCACAGGGAGTAGCATCAGCTTAGCGTCAGTGTTCCTGAAAAGTCTGGGTATGTCCCCTTCCCCTGGGTATAGTCACCCTGGTAAGGGTCCCTTTTGCAGAAGAGTAAGAAAAAGTGCTCTTGGCTGTGTTTCGAGGACATTTCTCAAGAATATTTGGAAAGCTTATTAAAATTCAGCTTGCTAAACCTCAACCCAGACTTTCTAATTCAGTAGGTCTGGGGTAGGGCCTGAGAATTTGCATTCCTGGTAAGGTCCTGAATGGTGCTCTTGCTCCTGGTCATGGACTTCAGTTTGGGAATCACTATTTTAGAGCTACTTCCAGATACTCAGGCTAGCTTTTGAATCACTGTTTTGTGGCATGTTCACCCAAATTGACAAATTATCAATTATATATATCCAAAATCTAATTAAATACACTTTTCTTCCTGGTCAGAACCTTTAGAATCTATACCAGCTGTCTACATTTTTATCAGTGAGGGTTTCCAGATTCACAGGGAAAAATTCAAGATGCCCACTTACTTAAATTTGTATTCAGATCAACATAAATAATTTTTTTATGAGAGAGAATGTGCATTTGCATGCATGTGGGGGAGGGGCAGATGGAGAGGGAGAGAGAGAGAGAGAGAGAGAGAGAGCCCGCCCCGAACAGGCTCCATGCCCAGGGCAGAGCCCCGTGTGGGGCTCAACCCTACGACTGTGAGATCATGACCCCAGTCAAAATCAAGAGTCAGACACCAAACCAACTGAGCCACCCAGGAGCCCCATGAATAATTATTTTAGTATTAGTAAGTCCCATGCAATATTTGAGACATAGTTATACTAAAAAGTTATCTATTTACAATTTAAGTTTAAGTCAGTGTCTTGTATTTTATCTGGCAACCCTACTGCCAACAGAAATTTGTAAGAACTTGCACTTCTTTTAGCCTGTATATTTTTTTCCTCCTGGGTCAGACTTTGTACTTGTCTCCCTAGGGCATGCTGGCTTCTAAATCTCATTCTAGGTATTTAGGCAGTTGGCAAAGGGAAAGGGGTATGAAGTAGATGGATTGGACATGAGAAAATTTTTCATTCCCTCATGAAAGGTGGCTTGATTACAGGATCTCCAATCAGGGCAGGAACAGCCTCTTCAGACAGAGAAGGAAAAGCTTCTTCTAGCAAGAGTAGCTCACTTTGGTTTGAATCTACCCAAGCACTCTCCTTTCCAATTTTCCTTCTCAATAAACATCCTAACTTTCACAAAGGAGACCGTGGTAAGGCTGGGAATTTAACTTAACGACATATGTTGTAATTCAGCAACCTACAAGATTAGACTCTGACTTTGAGTGATGACAGGCCTGTGTCTGCCAGAGATAAGATTATTTGAGGGCACTTTTGGAGTATCACTGTCTGACTGGTGCCTTGAGCCAGTAATTTAAAATCCTGTGTTGTCGTTGTTCTTTGGAGTCAGGAGCAACCATTCACTCTATATTCTGTTTGCCTTATTCCCATCATGGTGGTCTGTCTCAGCAGCGGCTTGGTCTGGTAAGCTTCATTTTAGCTGCTCATTTGAGAAAAACAGAGGTGATGATTTCAGTAATTATTTTACTCCTGCATAGCACAGACTGTGAGAATCAATTTTTTGATAGTTGTGGGCGGTCATCACTGCCTTCGGATCCAGCCAGTTACACATCTAATCCCGGATTCCTATCTTTGACATTTTTGAGGGCCTGATTTCTACAACCACTTCAAATACCAAATACAATGTACTTACTCAAGAAACAGAAACCACTCGACATACTCTAAATTTAGAAAAGGATCTAATGTAGGGAGGTGGGTGCTTAAGTAATTATCAGAAGCCTTTAAGGACCTGGTCTAGGCTCAGCCTCCTGAATGACTTCCAGAACAATAAATTCTCACACACCAGGGAAGCTACTATTTCTGAAGTACACGGAAAATAAGAAGCTGCTGCCACCACCTGAGCTGCCTTGCAGCCTGAGGAAGCTAGAGAACGGACACCTGAGGCTACCTTCCAGGAAGTAGGGAGTCACATCAAGTAGGAGTAACCACTACTCAAAACCTGGGAAGCTGGAGGGTGGGCAGTGGAGTGCTGCCGAAAGATAATGTATCTCACACTTCTAGGAACTTTCTTGTGACAGAAATAGCTAAAAATGTGCAGGAAAATAGTTTCTGCCTCCGTTTTACCTTCCAGATCTCTCACAGGTCTGTCTAATTTACAGAACTGATTTTGCATCTAGCTTCCTGGCTTCTCATGAGTCTAGAAAGAGAGAGAATGGAGGTTGGGTAAGGCAATCAGACACACTGGTCTTAGAGATGTTGCCTTATTGGGGAAGGATACCTGCCCTTAATATGTAATGCAACACTGTGTTACCTTTATTTCAGGTGAGAGTGTTTCTCAGTAAACCAAATAACAGATCTTCCTTCCCTTTTTTTGGGGCTTATTTTACTCTTCTTACCACTCATAAATTTGAGTTTTTGTTGAAGTTCATTTCTAGCCAGTTTTTTGTGTGTATATTTTTCACTGAACACCCTATGGTTTCCTATGGAGATACGAATCTCCAATCTGTTGTTTAAGCCCTTACCTTTCTTCCAAGCTTCAGTTTTGCAGGCCTTATTTGTAGATATTGAAATTTAGATACTGTGTTTTTAAAATTCAGCAATCTCTAAAAAATGAACTCTTGAATTTGCCCTTCCTAATCTCCTTATTTCTGTTGATATATAAGTCCTTTAAAACTAAAACCTGCTAACTTTGAGTTGCTCGTCTTAATGCCTTAGCCAGTCAGAAATGAAGTTCTGCTGATTTATACTTGTGCCCTCTCACTAGTGTGTGTCCTTGTTTGTTTCCTACTTCTGCTTCAAGAACATTGGACTTACTGCTTTTACAATTTTCTTAGCAATTAAACATGCGAAGCCAGGGGCGCCTGGGTGGCTCAGTTGGTTAAGTGTCTGACTCTTGATTTTGGCTCAGGTCGTGATCTCACAGTTCATGAGATTGAGCCCTGCGTTGGGCTCCGTGCTGATAGTGCAGAGCCTGCTTGGGATTCTCTCCCTCTCGCTTTGCCCCTCCTCTGTACCCCACCCCCAAAAGTAAACAAACTTTAAAACCATGTGAAGCCATGTGATTCTCCTTGATTGTCTTCAACATCTACTCAAATGCAGCTATTTTACTTTATTTTGACTTCAGAAAGAAGACTGTAGTAAGAATGCATTTTCTCTTTATATTAAAATAATAACCATGCAATATATATATTTTTATTTCATCTAATTTGAAAAAGATAGTCTGTTGGCTAACATTAGAAAAGGTGAGTTGTATCTTCATATTAAAGACCTGACTTCAAAAGACGTAGAGGTGTGCATTCTTGCCTCATCATATTCTGGTGTTGAGTGGCCTTCATTCAACGTTGCTGTCAAATTGCTCATGTGAAAGTAACATTCTAGAAGATATGTACACTTGCTATCCTGAGTGTTTTGAGACAGGTATGGTTTTTTTGTTTGTTTACTAAATAGTGCTGGGAGTTAGGTTTATAAATGCAATATGGGTTTGTTTTAATTAAAGATTTCACGAACAATTCTCTGCATCTAATGTTGGAATCAATAGTGGTGCTGCAAATCTTTGCAAACATTTTATCACTATGATGAAACTGATGTGCGAGCAAGAAGATGCTTTCCTTCTGATGAATGCTCATTAGTAATAGTCCACATGCACAGCCTCAGTGTACTTCACAGGATGAGATTCCTTTTCATCTGGTTCTTTTCATTAGGACAGTTGTTCTATGAAAATTAATACTAATATGACAAGGGAATTTATCAACACATTATAAAGATTACGTTACAAAGGCCAGATTTGAAATTTAATACTGAAAATCAACATATGTTATCTTTAGTATGAAATAAAGACAGAGGCTCCTTTCTGGATGACCCATCCCTTCTGTTAAGGGTATTAATTCCTCGGGGTGCCTGAGTGTCTCAGTCGGTTAAGCGTCTGACTTCAGCTCAGGTCATGATCTCGCGGTTCATGGGTTTGAGCTCCACATCAAGCTCTGTGCTGACAGCTCAGAGCCTGGAGCCTGCTTCAGATTCTGTCTGTCTGTCTGTCTGTCTGTCTCCATCTCTCTCTCTCACTCACAAAAATAAGCATTTAAAAATTTTTTTAAAAGAATATTAATTTCTCAGGGCGCCTGGGTGGCTCAGTCAGTTAAGCGTCCAGCATAGGCTCAGGTCATGATCTCACAGTTCATGGGTTCAGGCCCCGCGTCGGGCTCTGTGCTGACAGCTCAGAGCCTGGAGCCTGCTTCAGATTCTGCGTCTCCCTCTCTCTCTCTGCCCCTTCCCCGCTCATGTTCTGTCTCTCTCTGTCTCAAAAATAAATAAATATTAAAAAAATTAAGAGTATTAATTTCTCTTGGCCATACCCTAGTCTGAGGGGACAAGGGAATCTCACAGCTTCACTTCTCAGTACATGTTGCTTTACTGTGTCATTACCACTGTTACAGTAACAATTATGAAATTATAACCTAAAGCCATAATAATTTCATATCTTTTGTTACCATATCCTAAATTACCATGAAAGGTAAGAACAATTTAAAAAGTATCCAGAGGAGACAAGTTGCTCAAAATTCTGATGCATTAGTTCTAAAAATAAATTGAGATTATTCAGTTGATTCTTCTTTTTGTGTTATTGCTGAAGATCTGATGCAAAGAAATAAAGTTAGACTAGTAAAGAAAAGTAATTTAGACATTTGGAAAAAATTATTTATGTGAAGATTATTTAAAAAGAAAGAAAGAAAATTATGTTTTACCAGAATAAATCATTTTTTTCAAAAGTTTAAGTTAAAAAATACTTGTTCCCTTATAGCGCCATGATTCCATCTGTAGCATTAGACAACAGAAATGGGTGGATAAAGATTACATTTGGCCAGTTTTTAAAATTGAAGCACAGCTGACACACAATGTTATATTCATTCAGATGTACAACATTTTGATTTGACGATTCTATATGTCATCACTCAGTGCTTACTGTAAGGGCAGTACCTATCTGTCAGGATATAGCGTTATTACAGTATTATAGAAGGGAAGGGAAGCAGTGTTATTACAGTGTTATTGACTGCATTCCCTATGCTGTACTTTTCATCTCTGTGACTGACTTATTTTATAATTGGAAGTTTAGACCTCTTAATTCTCTTCATCTATCCCAACCACGAGTTTGTTCTCTGAATTTAAGAGTCTGTTTATTTTTTGTTTTGCTTTTTAAATTCTACATATAAGTGAAATCATATGGTATTTGTCTTTCTCTGTTTGACTTGCTTCACTTAGTGTAATACCTTTGGGTTAGATTTGGCCATTTTTTAAAAGGCTCACTTCCGTCTCAAATCTCAAGTGGAAAACAGTATGTGTTTGTTTTCTTGATCTTTTTCTTCCCTTGAATGCTACAGCGGAGGTCTGTGTTAAATGTAAAATTACCCAGACTGTCAACAGAAGGTAATGAGTAGCTACCCTCAATAATTAGTTCTTTGTGTAATTATATATTATTAAACCTTTCTTGAGAAAATTAAAAATACTTTTAAGGTAGTAAAATTACATGCTGAATGAAATTAAGAACTTTAAAATATGAGAGAATATAAAAATAGCATGAGTTTAACAATGTGAAAATACAACATAATGAAGAATAGTGAATTATCTTCAGTTATGATCTAGAGTTGTCTGGAAGCTAGGGCAGGGTCTACTGTGTCTCCATCTGCAATGTCAGTAATTATTGATGGAATGAACTGATGAATGACTGGCTGCAAAAAAAATACTGATAAAGTAATGGTTTCCTTCCAAAGATGTATGGAGAAAATACACTCACATACTGTAAGTATAATGGAGCTATAGTACCTTACTGATTGTGAATTCCAGTCTTGGGAATGCAAGAGAGAGCAGCAAACGGATCCTCCTCTGTTTTTCTGTCTAGGAAGTTGAAGGTTAAGAAAAAGGATACAATTATGTATTAGAAAGTCATGATGAGTTTGGTAAACCAAATGGTTTTCACAAAACGCCACTACTTTGTAACTAAGAGACACATTATAATGTTTGAAAAAAATCACTTGTGGACAACAAAAGTATCAATTTATAAGGAGTGTAGACAATTTAGAGAATTCTTTAATTTGGATAGGTTTATTGCTTTATGATGAGCTAGCAAGAAAATAAGAATGCTGTAGAACACAATCATAACTTTTGAGATCATCAGCAAGTATTTGATAAAGCAGGGTACTGGGACATACAGATCATGAGTTTCACTTGTGACATTTCATATGTTCTTCTACTTTAATTGTGCTTTTACTGTTTAAATGCCTTCGTTTGAGACACCTAGAACATAACACTGCTCTTAAACTTTGTAGGTCTCCTTGGTTAGGTGCTTTAGTACCTCATGTGGGTTTTAAGGCCTGGTGTTTTGATCCAAACATTCATTTAGGTGTTTCAAAAATTGTGGGTTTATTTATTTATTTTTATTTTATTTTTTAATATTTATTTATTTATTTATTTATTTTTGAGAGACAGCACAAGCAGGGAAGGGGCAGAGAGAGATACAGAATGTGAAGCAGGCTCCAGGCTCTGAGCTGTCAGCACAGAGCCCAATGCGGGGCTCGACCCACTAACTATGAGATCATGACCTGAGATAAAGTCAGACGCTTAACCAACTGAGCCACCCAGGCACCCCATGTTTACTTATTTATTTTGAGAGAGAGAGTAGAGAGCACAAGCAGGAGAGGGGCAGAGAGGAGAGACGGAATCCCAAGCAGGCTCTGCGCCGATAGCCTGATGCTCACAAACCATGAGATCATGACCTGAGCTGAGATCAAGAGTCCAATGCTTAACCAACTGCGCCACCCAAGCACCCCTAGGTTTTAATTAATAGTATTAACGTAAACTTAGAAGAAAATTGAATACAATAGCCTTTTCAAAATGCTTGTCTATCTCTTCCAGAAAAGTTTTTTGAAATGAAGAAAGGACAATGTAAAGATGCCCTAGAAATTTACAAACGATTTCTAACTAGAATGACGCGAGTATCTGAATTTCTCAAGGTTGCAGAGGTAAGTAATATTAAGCTTTGTTGGAAAAACATTCCAACAAAGAATATTAATTTTGTTAATATTAATTTATGTATCTGGAGTCAATAGTAGGGTTTATAATATGTCAAGACATTCTGTCCCAGAGCCCCAGTGTGTTAGGATTGGAAGTGAACTCAGAGGTCATGTCCTCCAGCTTCTCATCCACAACTGTATTCTGCACTCCTGCATCCCAGTTAATGATCATTCTGTGTTCAAATACAGGTGTCCTGGACACTGAGCAGATTCTCAGCTCTGCAAGGTGGTTCATCTCCCCTTCTAATTAATGGCGATCTTTGATTGTAAGGAAGGGCTTCCTTTTTACTGATCCCTGTGGGAAAAAGCCCTTAGGAAAGTCTGTGTATTGTTGTTAGTGTGTAGAAGTCATAAATATGACCTTCTTACTTTGTCAATGACTTAAACACAATGAAAAAATTAAACAGAAAACTTCATTACTTTTATGAAGTTTATACATTGTTTCTTAAGGATATCTCTTTGTTCTTAATCATAATAACTGGGTAACCATACAGTTGGTGTTCCTGAGGTTACCTGTAAGTTAGTGTTTTATGAAATCCAGTTATTGATGAATACTGATATTGGAAGATATGACATTGTTACTATAGTCCTTTGGCAGGATGACCAGTTGGTTCTTCTCTTACATGTCAGTGAACGAATTGTTAGCACTAACTGGAGTGCTGTGTAAGGGGGGGTTCTGAAGCATATGATGCCATGGATATTGGACATTCATGCCATGTTTTTGCCATTTTCAGAATATAACACCAGAACAAGCGTTTTATACATACAATTCCAATGCACTCTAGTCCGTGCATTATCTATCTTTCAAATTTCATCTATTCACAAGGAATAATAATTGTCACATTCATATTAGGAGACTAAAATAATGTTATGAAGTGCTACCTCTTGACCTTTGATCCAAATACTTTGTAATCAGAATAAAAGTCTTTTTTTGTATATAATATGGGAAGCAGTAAAGAAGAGTGTATAGGAATTACATATGCATTAAAGCATATTCATGTGTACTTCTCATGAGTTTATTGATGTTGGTTGTCTTTAAGGAGGGATAGAATTGCTTGAAACTTTCACTTTTGCTGCCACACAAGTTTTATTTTTTGTATTTGATAAGATTTTCCTGTGGTTTAGCCTTAGTTATCAAAATAATCTAGTAAAATTTTCCCTTTTTTTCTGTGAAAAGATCAGTAATGCCTAAGCATCAGAGCAGAACATCCTTTCATTGTTTCATTAATTCTTGGTGCACATGCTAGTCAGTTTTCCTGTCTCTTACTGTATACGTTAAGGTAAGAAGCTGGGCATGTGACAGCCTGGGGTATATGTTTCTCTAATCGCTAAGGCTGGGTTCAAGGTCTTCATGAGAAAGGGGGTATTTATTGATTCATTCTGGATTTTTTTAATGTTAATGTTTGTTTATTTTGAGAGAGAGAGTGTGTGTGAGTGAGCAGGGGAGGGGCAGAGAGATAGAATCCCAAGCTGAGTGTGAAGATAGAATCCACACTGAGTATGAAGCCTGGCGCAAGGCTCAGTCTCATGGCCATGACATCGTGACTTGAGCCAAAATCGCACATTTTACTGACTGAGCCAACCAGGCGCCCCATTCTGTTTTTAGATGTAAAACTTTATTTTATGTCTCTTGATAACCTCATGTCAGCCTGGGCCCATGTCAGGCTGTCGAAAAGAAAATATATAGAAATTCAATGTCATTCTGAGAGTTTTTCTTCAAATAACTGAATACAATATTATACTTTTAGTTGAACGTTATGACCAGGACTTTGTTATAGAATGATACTAATTTACAAAATTATTTTTCATAGAATAAATGCTAACCCACAATGGGCTAACAGTAACCATTTGTGTTTTCTTTATTTAAGTTACATTGTTCATAATTTGGACATTAATTGTTTGAATACCAGTGTTGAGTGGTTTGGTTATGATTGGTAAATACAGAAATTTCTTAACACATGTACAAAGCTTCCCTCTCTACCAGACGGCTCTTGTGTGGTGTGCATATGTGTGGACTCATACCAAGTAGTTACCTTGTAGTTAGTGCCATTTTCCTGAAGAATGTACAGAAGACTTGCAGAATGTCATTTTTAAAATACAACTGTGTATATTGGCTATTTGGCAAATGTTAATGAATTGTCTGCCATACTAAAAGAAATACAGACTTGTCAAACAACTAGTATGGAAATATTCAAATATCCCAGAAGAATTGCTTAAAGTGTAGAAAACTTCCCATGTTTTGAATTCTTACAATGAAGTCTCCTAAAGCAGAGAACTGAAACTTTGTAAAATGGTTGTTTTATAGGTAATAGGCGTTTTTGCTAAACACACTTCCTTTTTTATAGAAGTAAGTTATTCTTAGTTTGCTATTCTAAGATAAATACCAAGTCGTAGGAGTTATATCTCCCAGAATATTTGCAGACAGAAAGTGATGAGATTTCTTTAATACAGCCACCCCTCAGCTCAAGCCTTCAATTACATTATGGTTCAGAAGTTCAGGTGAGTGAAAATAGCAGTGTCAAGGAAGAATTCCTAAATTATGTCTTTCTGTTCAAGAAAGTTGTGTTAACTATTTAAGAGAAACACATCACCTTTTGCCAAGAAGATCCCAATATTAAAGATCCATAATACTTTAATTTCAAACATGCTGACTTCATTCATATTAATATTTTAATGGATCACCTAAAGAGGTATTAAAATATAGAAATAAAAGGAATGAAGTTACCTTAGTTTATAATTTCCATAATTTGTAATATTTAAGTGAGTTTAGGGAAGCAGGAGTAGCTTCCCTAAAGTCAGAGTTCAGTCATTAGCAGGTAAAGTCTACACATCTGGGAGGAATCTGCAGCCTAAGTTGCTCTAGAGGGATGAGGGTCAGTGCTCTACCTCATTGGTTCTTCACACTGGGCAATTAATGCTCCCCTCACCTCCCCGGTAACCAATGTCTTGAGACATTTTTAGTTGTCTCAACTGGAGGTGGGGGAAGTCTACAGGCATCCAGTAGGTAGAGACCGAGGATGTTGCCAGTATCCTACAGTGCACAAGACAAACCCCACCAAAGAATTATCATCCCAAGATGTGAATAGTGCCAAGGCTGAGAAACCCTGCTGTATATAGAGAGAAGGCAAAAGAAATAACTTAGTTAAGCATTTGTCACACGGGTAGATTTTCCGACCTCCAGTTTGTCTTATTGTCTTTGTAGGAGCCGAACATTTATGCTTCATGTATTGGCTTCTGCATTTCCATCAACATCAAAGCAGTTCATTTCTCAAAGAGAGAGACTTAATTTAACCCACTTTGTTCCTTTGAGCCTAAATTTCATTATTTACATAAAATGAGAGAATTTAAGTTATGATTTGTATTTTTCTCCAAATTTTTATTTTGAATTGTTTTAAAATCTACAAAAGAGTTGATAGAGCATATAGTGAACACCTATATACTCTCTTCGTTGATTCACTTCATTAATATATTCCCATATTTTTGCTTTTTCTTGTTCTTTCTTTCTCTTTTTCTGCTCTTCCTCCCTCCCTTACCTCTCTCCCCAAGCTACCAACACTAAAAATGCACATATGCTTTTACCTAGTAATTCCATTTCTATAAATGCATCCTACAGATGTATCCACGCAGGTGCAAAATGGTGTGTGCCACATTATGTGTAAGGCAAGAGATTGGAAGCAACTTCAGTGTTTGTTAATACATGACTCGTATAAATAAATAATAGGAAAAGACGCTGTTGTAAAAATAAGGAAACTCTATGTGTTAATGTGGATATAGGTCTAAGATACATCGTTAAATGAAAAATATAAGCCCAGTGTATGTAATACACTATTGTTGTATAGTAACATGGGAAGTGAATATGTATTTATATATTTCCTGTTTCCTTGGATATACATAAGGAAACTCTGGAAGGATACATAAGCAACAAACAAAATGGTTCTCTGTGGGAAGAGGGGTGGATACTATACTCTGAACAAGTTATTAAAATGAACATTCCCTGTCCAGAGGACTTACTGAGTATAATTAATTTAAATTTAGTATAAGAATTTTGTTTTAGGCTTTTAGTTGCCATTAGCCATGGAGGAAACCTTTACATTTTATATTTCAATTTCTTAAGTCTTTTTTGGGGTTCCAGTAAAATTCTGTGCATTTGTTATATCTAACTACATTAACAAAATCATTGCTCTGTTATATTGAGTAGAAAACTACACAAAGCATATTTTCAAAGTGAGATTGACAATTCTTTTATACCAGGATTGAGCCGTACTTAACTAATCCTGTGGGTAATCTGTTAAATGCAAAGAAATTAATTTTAAAAATTCCCATTAGTAACTTATTTTTTTTAATCTGCAGCAAGTTGGCATTGATAAAGGTGACATTCCTGACCTCACACAGGTAAGTGATTCTCTGAATAAAAAGTATAGTATACTTTACTATACCCCTATAGTGGTACTTTATTAAACCACTATAGTGGTTTGCCATAAATTACCTAGGGCATAGTCTTGTAAGCATTTAATGCATTTTGAATTTAAGTCAGCCAACTTTCCTGGAAATTATTTTGGCTTGCTTATTTTTTCTAGCTATTGAATATATTTCTGGAGATAATGTGAAGATTTTCCTGCCCGTTTAACACAGTTTCTTCTTTAAAGGCAACTGAATTTACTTATTGAGACTGTGTTTTCATTCTTCAACTTGATTCAAAATGAAACCTTGAATAATGTTTGAAAAATGCTTTATGAACAGTGACTATTGGTAGGCATGTAGTCAGAACATTAGGAATGTTTTTTCTGCTATTCTCCTAGTTTTTAACATTTCCCAGGTATGCACTGACTCTTGACTCCCCTGTGAAGTGGAAGAAATTTTGTAAAAGAACCTTTAAAAAAAAAAAGTGCTAGTGGTAGATAAGTGATTTTTCTAGGGACCATCTAGTAAGCAAAAGCAATAGTGCTGCTATCTTATCAATCTTTTTATGTGTCAAGAGGGCACACTGTAGGGTTCCTAATATGTAGAATCAAGACCATTCACGTGTGCAGAATTACTTTGTGACTTTTCTCATAATTGGCAGGAACTGTTTTTATTTAATCAGCTCTTTACTCTGTTATGGTAAATTCTATCCCAAACATGTCCTTTAACTAGAGACAGTGAGATGATAAGAGAGAATATAGAGCTTCTTGCATACCAGCAATGAATGTATGAGTTTCCTGTCTTTGTAAATAAAAACTAATTGTAATAGAAGGAAATGTTCATAATGAAAAATACCCAGTTTTTAATAATGTCAAAATGTATATAACAGACTATAATCCCTTGCAATGTTTTTAGATTTAAAATAATATTAACCTTAAATTTTTATTAAAAATTAGAGAACCCCAAAGTAATAGTCTCTGTATTTATCTTATTAAAATACCAACTAAATACCAATAATCTTTCATAAGTAAAATTTTGAGAACAATTCAAACATGATGGCATTGTACTTTTTGCCTTAAAAGTTGGGAGATCACTGCTTCTAGTAGACAGAATATTAATATATTTTTGCTATTATGAGAAGATAGTGTTCTTTGATCAGATATGTACCTGAATAAGATATTAGTATCATTTTGGATATGGTTTAGGTATTAAGTATGTAAAGTACCATTAAAATTTTTTATTAGATATGGACGCATGAATTTAATAACGCTGTAATAAAAAGTGAAGACAATCAGTATGCTTTCATTTTAAATTATTTAATGATAACAAACATTTACATTGTAGTTTAGTAAAATAGCCCAGATGAATAATACATATTAACCTAAAAAAGGTAGATATTAAAATGTTTTGCTCAATGAATAGCTTTTAGAGATAGTAAATCACCTTTATTTAAACTGTATAGACCGCTCTCACTGTGGAATAAAAGTAAAACTATCATATCAGGGAGGCTCTCAGTTAAGAAAATAGACCCTCATTTGTCTCAGTTCGTACAGTGTTTGAAAGAGACAAAGTTTAAAAGAATGCTTAAATACCTTTTTGTTTTTAAAATTAGAAAATTGTAGGTATCATTGAAAGAAGGATTCACATACTTGGGTTTAATTTTTAATGTTACTATAGTATTCATTATCACTTACATAATCTCTTCTCAAAAAGTCCAGAGACATATTGTTTAACGTTGTACATTGTGTTACTCTAATTTGGAGAACAGATATCCAGTCCTTAAAGAAGGTAAAGCTGTGCCCTGGGTATTCTGTGGTAGAGATTCATTAGAATCTGGTATCATTCTTTCCTCTGCTATTTTAGTGTCCTTAAGAGCCACATAAACTTCCATGTTAACATTTATTCTTAAATTACTTCTTCACACACACTTAAGCATTCCCTAGTTAATTTCTCCAGCATATACTTAAATCTCAATACAAGAGTATTGAGTGCTTCTGAAATTTCTTAGTAAGTAACCTAATTGTGATTTCTGTTAGGATTGTGACAGAGCTAAATATACTTCCTAATTCTTATTTAGAACCCCTTCCATAGGTCTACTGGAGGCTTCTAACTGATCTGGCAGTTTAGACCCACTATGATGGTATGGTCAGGCAGAGCTGGAATGTGAACTATTCTAGGGTTAGTCCTTTAGACAGTGTTAGACCATGGTTAATCTGGAAATGGGTCACAGATACCAGGTTGTGTGGACTCAGTTTAACACCTTTGAGATTAGGTTCTCTCTGCCAGCTCCTGTGTGGCCATTACAGCCACTGAATCTAGCTGTGGCAGTGAACCAAAATACCCAACATGGAAGAGGGCTAAGGAGGAGCTGGAGATCAGAAGGCTACCTACTGACTGGGAGTAAGAATAGACTGCTTGTAACTGGAAAGATGAGAATTCTTACAGCAAGGTGGAGCAGAGGAATTCAATGGACATCATTTTGGTTGGAAAATGCACAATAAATACCAGTGTGGTCATCTGCAGCCCTCTTTAAATAATTTTGCATATAATATCAGAACTGCATTTAAATGATTTATGAACATCAATGAACTTTTTTAACAAAACATTCAAAAGTGCTATATTGGGTGAGAAGAAGAATAATACAGTATCAGAACTGCTTCTTAACACTTTCAAATGGTTTCTGAGATCTAATGATGAAAAATTTGAAGGATCTTTTGGTTGCTTTTTTTCCTGTTTGGTTTTAATGATGCATTAGAATCTAAAGTATCTGAATTGTAGATGAATGCTTCCTTTTTGATCCTGGGCTCACAAGTCGGATTTAAATTTGTTCCAAGAAAAGGATTTTCAAAATATCATTTCCTGTTTGGGGTGTGTATATATGTATGTGCATTCCAAATTTAAAATACCTCCATTTATGAAAAACATCTTAGGTTTTCTTATTAGGAATTCTGGTTGATCTGAAAACTGCTGGTAAAGAAAAGTTAAAACACACACACACACACAACTGTCCCACTGATGAATGGATAACTGTGATACATTGCTATTACCTGTTAGCTTTCACAGGCTGACTCTGGTCTTTGGGTTGGTGTTTTCCACCTGATTGGCCCGTTGACTTCAGCATTTTTAAAAATAAGGAACTAAAGATAACTGCTAATTGTAGTTTGTTATTTTAAGTTCCTTTTCCAACAGCAGAGGTATTCTCAAAGTTTTGTTCCTTGGAAATTTGAGACCGTTTTTGTTTATTTGTCTACTATAGGCCAAGTTCTACTCCATGCCATAGATAGAGTTAAGGCAGTTGATAACTGCTACATTTGTGAATATTGCTATCAAAATTGTTTTTTCCTCCAAAAACACTTGAGGAATTTATTTCTATTACACTTCACATGTCCTTATAAGAACTATAAATGATTAAGCATTTTTAAACCTGTAAGATAAAATGCTCCAAATTTAATTGTATCTGCAATTCATTACAAAATAACTCCCCTTAAAGACAAAAGTCAGTTTTGTAGTCTGCTCTTAGTAAAAAATTGTTTAAGTATTATGATTTTTGTGACTGGTACTTTATTTTAAACTTTTCATCCTTAAATTATGAAAAAACCTTGCAAAAAGAATGGAATTGCAAACTGTCCTCTGGTTTTTTGGTTTGTTTGTTTTTAAGAAACTAAGGAAGTTTATAGGTGACAACACCACTTCTTTCTTTGTTATCCCATATTGTTCTGTTTTGTGACTGTAAGTAGCACTTGTCTTTTTAAACCGTTTTAGAATCACATTTTCTTTACTTTGCATTTAACATTTAGAAGACCTATGTCTTATAACCAGGGAGAGGTTCTGTGGCTTGATGTATTTTTTTTCCTTACTATAATCCCAGTGAAAAAAAATAGAAATATGAAAATTTTGAAGTTCTATTCCCAGGCTTCCTAGGTTCCATTGTTATGGCAATTATAATAATAAGTATTATGAAAATTAGCATGATAATGTTGAAGTTATTGGGTGTTAATTTGCCTAAAAATTGTGAGGCTCTATTTTTTTTCCTTTTAATAAGGCAATGCATATTCTCTTTATTAAATGAACATGTCTTTATAGTATACTGTTTGTTCTATAGAGCAAAATTTTCCTTACATCTTAAATTTTTACCTTTTTTAAACTTAGAGATATACTCTTATTTGCAATTTGTTGGAATTTGTTGAGTAAGTCTACTGTCACCTAAGTTATATTTTTAAATCATAATTTTTATAATTTTCTAAATTTATTACATCCCCTATAATCATTACTCTTTCTATTCTAGAGTCCATAATGTTTTAGATAATGGTCACAGGTCTGACTCTTTCTACCCTACCTCCATCACTTTGATGAAGTTAATATTTTTGTTCACTTAGTAACTTATATTTATAAATTTACATGTTTGGCTCATTTAGTAATTTATATTATATAATAATCATATAATTACATATATAATAACCACATAATTGTTAAGATGGCTCATGAATCTATTGGTGAAGTGAAAATGGTATTAGATATCTAGAACCTTTAAAATTAAAAAACTTTAATAAGAATTTTACTTTGTCATTATAGGTACAATGTAAAATGTACAGTTGTTTGAATTTCCTTGAATTCTGTGAGCTGTTTTAGCAGTTAGCATATTAAAAGTCTTCAAAATCAATTTCATATTAATTTGAAGGCTGTTAGAATTTAATGTATCTATAAATGTAGTTACATATTTCATTCGTGGAATGCTGTTCTTTGAATGCTTATGCTGCTGTTAAGGTCTAATTTAGGTTAAAATTATTTAAAGATGACATTAAATTTCTAATGTTTGAGGAATAGATGGAGTGGAATATATGTATGAACCTCATATTTCTCTTTCTAATATACAGTAAATGCCATCACTTTGTATTGCCTAAAATGTTATTATAAAAACAGTTCAGGTACCTTTTAACAAAAGAGTTAAATATATTAAATTTGGCAATACACAGTAGCTTAACATTATCATATTTGCTAAAGTATTTATTATGTATATAAATTAAGTAGCTCAGTAATAAGAAAATCTTAATTGTTGTTGACTATTAAAGTTGTATTCTTTTCTCCACAACTATCACTTACCCACCCCCCCTTTTACTTAATATAGTAGCAATTTTTCCTAACATGTCAGTCAAACAGAGATAAGTGAGAGTTTACTGTATTTTCAAACCTCTGTAAGTTTGTGTTTGGGCACTTATATTTCTTACTTAGATACAAATACCTATTCTTTTTTCATGTGGTCTTATGGAAATATGTGGTTAATTTGATTTGAGTTTACTGCATATAAATAGTATCATAGAAAAGTCTATCCAATGTAATCTCTACACTGAAACCATGCTGTAGTGCTATTTGTTATGCAGTGGGAGTAAGTATATGTACGATGGCCTGTCTGAGATTCCATGGAATTTAAATATTTAAGTACCAAAAGACTTGGAATGAAATCATCTCACATATGTATTGGGGTCCACCCACAGAACTCCACCATACAAAGTTACAGTGATGTTCCAGTGTATTTACTTTGAAAGAAAGCAATGCAGACATTTATTTTTACTTTCTTATTGTAGGCTCCCAGCAGTCTTATGGAGACCCTTGAACAGCATCTAAATACATTAGAAGGAAAGAAACCCGGAAACAAGTACGCATTAGTTGTATATTCTAAATAAGATTAAAAATGCTACAGTCGTTCTTTATAAGAATGAGATATATCATGGTACCATGTATACTACTACAGATTTAGAGTATGCTTTATTGTAATTCTTCTAGGTTACCTCAAAAACCCCATTCATCCCATTAACTTGTGGCAATGTGACCCCATATATAGGCACTCTTTCTGCAGGCTCATGCAGCAAATTAGTAGGTTGTACATAGGTTGCCTGAACTTGCTGACATATATACCTGCCCTTAGAGGGGATTCACAATATACCGAAAAAGAGTTGCTCATGTTTAAAAATTGAGGCTGTTGTTGTTGGGCGTATGAGTAAAGCAGTTTCACAGGTAGCCTTGAACATTCTTTTACACTGCCAACCCTGTTGTGAAAGAAAGCAAAGCCGTCAAGTATAGTTTTCTGCATTTTAGACTCTCCTTACTTGAACCATTCAGCATGGCATACTGCTGACATTTTGCTCAGACATCTTTTTCATACAAAGAATAGCAATCAGCAATAAGTCCAACTTTACTGGATTTTCATTATCTTTGTGTTTGGGCACATACATTTTTCACTATTTTTTTTTATTTTATTTTTTTTAAATTTTTTTTTCAACGTTTATTTATTTTTGGGACAGAGAGAGACAGAGCATGAACGGGGGAGGGGCAGAGAGGGAGGGAGACACAGAATCGGAAACAGGCTCCAGGCTCCGAGCCATCAGCCCAGAGCCTGACGCGGGGCTCGAACTCACAGACCGCGAGATCGTGACCTGGCTGAAGTCGGACGCTTAACTGACTGCGCCACCCAGGCGCCCCCATTTTTCACTATTTTTACTCATTGCGTGCAAAAATGTCCAAGTTCCATTTTTTTTTTTCTTCTCTCTAGCAAGTATCAAACTGGTCTATTCACAAGACCCTGTGCTTTTCAGTCTTTGTGCCTTGCTCAAATTACAGTTCTGCTAGTCTTGGATACTGACCTTCCTTGTCTCCGTGTGTGTAAATCTTACCCATCCTGGGAAGGCTACCTCATTAAGCCTTCCTTAATCATGCACTACTCTGTGTTGTGGCCATTTTATTCCCACATATGTGGTTTAAATAGATTTTCTGAATCTAAAGTTCAGGGACTGTTTTATACTTCATTATCTCCACCTATTCTCTCTACAGAGTCAGCTTGAAATCTGTCTTTGTTGGTCCCAGCTTTTTGTTTATTTCATTTCGATTGACAGCAGAAGTTAACAGAGATGACCTATGAAGTGATCATTGCAGGGCTGTATGCTGATGATGGATTTTGCCTATGATATAGTTATCAAAATGCAACCTCTTTCTGCTTTCTTCTCTCTCGGCATTTGCCCAGAATCTAGATTCATGTCTCAGTGTTACTTTTTGCTTGTTGTTTCATTAGCTAAGTGTCATTAGTATAACGATTGTTGCATATTTTAAATTTTCAATGATAAACAGTAGTGTAGGAATCTCTCAGGCAGTTATGGCAGAGCTGTTGGGTGTGATGCATGGCAGGACTTCTCAGGGGCTCTGTCAAGGTTATCACCACAGTACAAGGTCTGCCCTGCTTCATCGTGGCCATGGATGATCAGAATTTTGTGGATAAATTGATGTCAACTAAAAGACATGAGAGTACGTTAAGTGACATGGGAGTATGTTAGATGACCACTTCCAGTTATTGCTGGGGCCACCCAGTATTAGAGTATCTAAGAAGCCAAAGGAGTTGTATAGGATTCGAGCAAAAGGAGGCATGAAGCCTAAGAAATGTCCTGCTCCTTTGATAGAAGGACCTCCAACTAAGGAAATATGCACATCCCCCGGACTTAAAGCCTCTCCCTTGGGCAATGCCTGATACGTATTGGTGAAAAGTCAGCTGGTCTGTACTCTTACCCTCCTCAGGGTCCCCCACACCCTGCACAGAACCACACTTTCCCCTTGTTAAATCTGCCAATGCTGCAGTCAACAGAAAAGCAGCCTATAGGGTGAATTTTATTAGCCCCAACTTCAAGTCTAAATTCGCCCCCTTGTGGCTGCTGCAAACTATTTTTGGAAAACTTAGCTATGTACACATAGTCACATTTCTAAGAGCAGGGAAATAGAATTTCAGTGATCTTCTGTTTTGAATTACCTTTGGCTGAGCGTAATGTTTCTCTCTCCTTTAAAAATCATTTTATGCTTGTCATATTTCTTTTCTGAATTGGCTGAGAGACTGAATATGAACTTGTCTTTTGCTTATTCCCTATTTTTAAAATAAATGAACTATAGTAGTTAACTGTTTTCTTCTTTGTATGTTTGTGCTTACCTGGGAACTTAAGTGAAGGGTGAGTACTACATTGAGTGGCTTTTTTGCATTTGGTTATTACTGAGAATGCAAAAAGCACTCTTAAGACTCCACATTTGGTATTTAGAACATTTATTTAAAACTGATTTCTGTCAATTTTACACATCTGTGTTTTTTCATCATACTTTTTTACTTGTCTCCCAAGGTGACTGGCATAAATGGTTTTGCTTTATTTTGGTCTTCTCAGATCAAGATTACCAGTCTCTCTTAGGTGTATTACTCTTAGATTTTGGAAATAAAGGGTTTTTTTTTTTTTATTTGATTAGTAAACAAAAGATTTTCCCATGGCATATGGCAGGAATGCCAAAAGACAGTATTACAGAGAAAATTAAAGTTGTTTGTCTTTCAATAGCAGTATAAAATTATTCTAATCTCTGAGTCAAGGAAATGCATACAATGCCACATTTTTAAATGTCTACCATAAAAATATGTATGCTCTTTATATTTAATGGCTTTTATCCACTGATACTTATTTTTGAAGTCTTATATAGTACTGTGTGATATATTTGCATATTTTATGTTTCTGTGATTCCATAGAACAAAAGAGAAATTGATTTTATTTTATATGTGGGTTTACTAAGTGTTGAGGGTACAGGAAACCTGAGAAGAAGTCTGTTGTAATTAAAATTGTTTAGAAGACATAGATAGGTTTTTCACATCTGTTTTTTTTTTTTTTTTGTCTCGGTCTACCATCTATAACCAAAATTATATAGAGATTATTATTGTGAATAAAACATAACAAAATGTCCTCATTTGATGGCTGACTATTAACATCTTGGAAGTAAACCTTAGCATTTTCTATGTTTGTCATAAAAACCCATGGATTTGTCTGTAGCATTTCACAGAATTTAGGAAAGGACTATATGGGTCATTCATTGTCTTCTAAAGTTATAATCGTGCTTTATTCTTCCCAACACAGTTCACTGTGTACTAGATTTCTCTCATTAAAATTATTAAAATGAATATTGGCTTTTAGCAAATGTCATTAAATAAAAGATTGTAGCATTTTCTTTTATAAAGGACAAATGACCAATGGTAGGGTGTTAAGTCAATCAAGAAACCGGTGAAAGGAAGCAGTTTGTATGTTGTGTGAGAGGAACACACGTGCCGGGCTCACATGTGTTTTTGTCAAGACAGGCTGGAATGTGAAACGAGGGCAGGCTGGGGCATCAGACAGACTTGGACTGGAGTCTTAAATCCACCATTAAAGAATGGTGAGGCTTGGGCAAGTTATTTGCTTCACTGAGCCTTGAAGCCCTGGGATTTTAATCAGTAATTAATGATGCTTTTTAAAGCTATGGCCCAATGGGAGCACACCTCTGTTTCTGACCTCTTGTATGAAATCATGGCAAAGGCTAAGTATGGTACATACAAAGAGACATCACATTTCCTGACAGTTTAGTTTCACACAAAATAAGTTTAAGACTCTTAGTTAATTTTTTTAAAGGAGTACATGAATGTATTCTTATTTTAAATTCAAATGATAGAGAAATACCACTGCCTGCAAAGTGCCAGGGTTGTGTAAAGTGCTGGGGATATAAAGCAATGAGATGGATTCCCTTCCTTCAGAGAATTTAGCATCTAGTGGAAAAGACAGATAACTAAACAGACAAATAAGGTACAGTGTGGTAAGTGGGGTGATGGCTGGACAGAGACAGGAGCTTTTATTTATTTGCTTAATCCATGGGGTAACTAGAAGTGTCATTTAGTAATGGTGCTCATGGAGGAGCTTGGCAAACTGATTCTTTTGCTACTTATGGTATTTGTACTTAGGTTCGAGCATGATAATCTTTAAATAGCAGGTATTTGCAAATAAAGTTGAATATCAAAGTTATTAATGTGACATATAATAATACATTTGCTGCATTCAATAAAACAAAAATTCATGATACTGTACAAAATTTCAGTTATTAAATCTCTGCTAATTTTGTGTTGCTAGTGCTACTTGTGATATTTCCTCTGTAGATGAGTAGAAAGCCACCCTGCCATCCTGAACGACTCTGACACTAGGCTTCCTATTGAAATATATTTTTTCTTCACTTTGTTTTATTATTAATTTATTTTCCACCAACTTGGGTTGGTAAACAGTAAACTGTTGAGGCAGCTGTTTCTGAAGCACTTTGATAGAGATCATGTATAATAGTGCTAGCAGTAATCTCACTAAAAATTTTTTTTACTGCTTTCTGATTTTCTCCTTTAGAAACAAGCATTGAGGTTACTGTACTTTTTCAAGCTCCCACCACTTTGAACACAATAATGGGAATACTTTCCATAGATCGTTTTCACTAGAGCTGTGAACAAAACAAACTTCAGGAGTATACCATGTGGAAGTTGAGACACATTTCAGACACAGGGCTCATAGGGATTTTTTAAAGTCTAGTGTTACTTTTATGCATCACAATTGTGATGAAATGAATCACAGTGTACCTCAATGAGTTTTCTAACTTTTTAAAATAGTACACCAGAGGGTTTTTTTTTTTTAATTCTGTAAAGCACTATATTCCCCAAGTCTTGTCAACATTTTTAAAATTCCAGTTTTATTTTTGATGGACACAGGCAATAATGATCAACTCAAGTTGCTAGAGATACACACAAAAAAACTTAAGTTTAAGAATCTCTAGTACTAGAAATTGAGTAGATGGAAAATATTGAAAGAGGATGTCATAATTGAATGAAAGAAAAATTATTTTTTAAAAAATAGTTTGTCCATTACTAAAACATCTGCATATAAACGAGTTAGTACTTGACCAAGCTTTACCAAACTTAATTGCTTCTACAAATTTATTCACGTATATTCAGGGGTTTTTTTGGTTGCCTTTTAGATCTGGTGCTCCCTCTCCATTAAGTAAGGTAAGTTTGCTCTTTCTTTTGTTTTGACCATTTTAGCAATTTTTGAGTGTACAGTTCACTGCTATTAACATTCACTTTGTTGTGCAACTGTCGCTGTCATCCCGTTTCCAGAACTTTTTTCATCCAAACTGAAACTCTACACTTTCAACACTAATTCTACATCCTTCTCCTCAGCCCCAGGCAACCCCCATTCTACTTTCTGTCTCTGTGAATTTGACTACTCTAGGTACCTCAAATAAGTGGACTTATCCAGTGTCTCACCTTTTTTGACTGACTTATTTTCCTTAGCATAATATCTTGGGGAATTTATTTATGCTGTAGCATATGTCAGAATTTTCTTCCATTTTAAGTCTGAGTAACATTCCGCTCTATGTGTATACCACATTTTCTTCATCCATCCGTCAGCGGTCACTTGGGTTGCCTCCATTTTTTGGCTGTTGTATGTACATGTTCCTTTCATCAAAAACCAAAAAATAAAATCACCATGATCCAGAAATTCCAGTTTTGAATATATACATACTGAAAGAAGTGAAAGGAGAAAGTCAAACAGGTACCTGTCCTCATGGGTCCTCTATTAGGACTAGGTTTTTTTTTTTAAGTAGGATAAATTTTCATACTTCTATATTTCAACTGAAAATAAATGTAACATTTTACTAGTTACAAAGCACATGCATGCTCTGAATCACAGCCCTGTGAGATAAATAAAGCACATGATTTTATACGTGTTTGGTTTAAAAAGTCAATTGTAGTTGGGTGTCTTTCTGCAAGCATGCTTTTTAGGCAGTCTACTATAATAATTTTAATAATTCTTTCACCTCCCTCTTTTTTGGTATATTGGAGGACACAATTGGGATTATCAATGACAATAGTTTTTTTTTCCCCTAGGTCAGTAGTTCACAGCTACCATTGTACTTTTCGGGAAAAAAATGTAATGTACTCTTTCATCTATGACAGATTTCCATTATGTGATTGCTGTTATTACAGACATGAAGGATATCATTATGACTGCAGTGGTAGTTCCCATACACCCTGTACTGTGTCAGTACCGGGCTGGCTGCCTAAGATTCCCTCAGGCAGCTCAAACAAAAAGATCCCTGGTGATTGTGTTATACAACCAGGTTTAAAATCATTATGTCTATGTGAAAAGTCACAACGTATGACTGCAGAGTAGAGTGTGGTAAAAATTATGGCATCATTTGGGATGATGTCTCCACATTTTGGCCAAATGAAATTTAATTGGTACTTTCTTTTTGTAATAACAGGATTATTCTGGTTCTGTTTCCCTAGCTCTCTCATCTCTTCAGAGCTTATAGTTACAAGGCAGTTTTTAATGGGTCTTTGAAGACCTTCACTTCTGCATTTATGTTGGTAGAGTCATTGTCATCATTAAGTTCTCAGTGGTATTTTCATAAACATCACTTTCCAAACTTATTTGCATGTATTGGTTTAAAAAACACTAATTTCTTTTAGAGGAGTTGTCAGTATCCACAATGGATGACCTACAAATTAAATTTTGTTATTCCTTTATATTCCCTTGATAATACTTCATGTTCCATTTGAAAACTTTTAATTTTTGGTGCAGATAAAGGCTTGAGTTAACCTTTTCTGAGCAACAATATCCATACTCGTGTGTTTGTCTTTCTTGACTGCTGAATGCTTAGCGCTTGTGTAGCTATTTAATTGTGACTTCTTGATTCATGGACAGATAGGATCAGACAAATACTGTTTAAATCTAAAACCCCTAAACATTATCTCCTCAGTCCTTTTTCTAAAAATTTATTCTTATTAAAGCTTTCTTTAAAAAATTTTTTTTAAATGTTTATTTTTGAGAGACAGAGCACGCAAGCTAGAGAGGAGCAGAGAGAGAGGGGGGCAGATGATCTGAAGTGGGTTCTGTGCTGACAGCAGCAAGCCCGACATGGGGTTCAAACCCACAAACAATGAGACCATGACCTGAGTTGAAGTCAGACACTCAACTGACTGAGCACCCTGCCCCCACTGCCCCTAAAGCTTTGTTTAAATTTGGTCTATTTGAAATTAGATATCCATTTACAGCATTATCTGATAGCCCTTGGTTGGTCTTAGTCTTCATGTGTTTTACTTGCTATTATATAACATTTCCACTTATAGAAGTAAGTATTGGTGGGCTGGTTTGAGATCTTCTATTAATATTTCCCTTGTAGATACATGGAGAATTAAATATAGCAAATAAAGAGAAATGGAATTAACAAAATTCTCAACAAAATTTTTTATTTTTAATATTAACTGACTATTAACTCTTTAAAAATCAGTCCAGGGAGGGGCACCTGGGTGGCTCAGTCAGTTGAGTGTCCGACCTTGGCTCGGATCATGATCTCACAGTTTGTGGGTTCGAGCCCGGCATCAGGCTCTGTGCTGACAGCTCAGAGCCTGGAGCCTGCTTCAGATTCTGTGTCTCCATCTGTCTGTGCCCGTCCCCTGCTCACACTCTGTCTGTCTGTCTGTCTGTCTCTCTCTCTCTCTCTCTCTCTCTCTCTGAACAATAAATAAACATTAAAAAACGTTTTAAAAAAAATCATTCCAGGGCATCTGGGTGGCTCAGTCAGTTGAGTGTCTGACTTCGGTTCAGCTCATGATCTCACCATTCATGAGTTCGAGCCCTGCATCAGGCTCTGTGCTGACAGCTCAGAGCCTGGAGCCTGCCTTAGATTCTGTCTCTCCCTCTCTCTTTGCCCCTCCCCTGCTTGTTTTCTCTCTCTCTCTTCCTCCCTCCCTCTCAAAAATAAATAAAAAATATTTAATAAAAAAATAAGTCCAGTGCAGGGTGCCTGGGTGGTTCAGTAGGTTGAACATCTGACTCTGGATTTTGGCTCAGGTCCCAATCTAACAGTTGTGAGATGGAGCCCTCTGTCGGGCTCCACAGTGAGCATGGAGCCTACTTGGGATTCTTTCTCTCCTCTCTCTGCCCCTCCCCCACTTGCAAATGCACACTCTCCCTCTCTCTCAAAAATAAATATTTTTAGGGGCGCCTGGGTGGCTCAGTCAGTTAAGCATCTGACTTCAGCTCAGGTCATGATCTCATGGTTCGTGGGTTCTAGCCCCACATCAGGCTCTGTGCTGACAGCTCAGAGACTGGAGCCTGTTTCAGATTCTGTGTCTCCCTCTCTCTCTGCCCCTCCCCCACTCATGCTCTGTCTTCCTCTGTCTCAAAAATAAATAAACATTAAAAAACATTTTTTTAAACAAATAAATAAGTAAACATTTTTAAAAATAATAAATAAACCAGTCCAGGACAGTAAGTGTTAGATTGTATTTTACTTTTTTAGTTTTATCTTTGTCACATTAGGGACTGGATATAATCAAGACACCCTTAAGCTGTCAGTGGCTTGAATCTTGTTTATGAATTGTTCTTTGCCATCTGTGAATTATTTTGAAAGCTAGATTTCTAGAATTTAAAGGCATCTGAGAAGATTTTATATGAAGTCTGATTAAGATGTGAAGGAAAAAGAATGGGCTTGGTTTTATAGCAATTATTACAATTGATAATTTTTTTTCACTTTTAGCAGCTAGTGAGATCTTTCCTGCTAATTTTATGTTTAGGAAATATCATTTAGCCTTGATTTTAAATACATGACTAGAAGTCATTGCAATATTAAGCCAAATATTTTCAACATAATTTTATATAAACTACATTTAACTTTTAAAATTTGAAACCTGTTTTGTCCAATATTGATTGCTTATTATAATTCTCAGTTTCAAATTTTCTTGAGTTTTTCCCTCCCACAGGGCATTACCCAGAAATTGCCGTGAATGTCATAGGTCTGCAGAGTTGAAGTCCTGTTGCTCTGTGTCCTTTAGATTCTCATTTGACTAGAGTGTGTTGTGCATCTTCACTTTCAGTCTTCTCCAGCCACAACCGTTACGTCTCCCAATTCTACACCAGCTAAAACGATCGACACATCCCCACCAGTTGATTTATTTGCAACTGCATCTGCGGCTGTCCCCGTCAGGTTAGTTAATGAGCATGTAGTGAACTGTTTATTAATATTTTCATTAGGTTTTTGTTTTATTTTTGTGTGCTGAACCGCCATGTTTTCGCAAAATGAAATCTAGTCCTAGTAACATGATAGTTTGGGCTATTTTTAGGTTCACAAAATAAGTCCTTTGACATTTTAGTCAGTTCCCTAGGCCTAGACTCTGAAAGCATCAGAGAGACCTAAGCTGTGGAAATCATCTTCTTGCTCAGACATTTAGGAAAAGAGATAGAATAATGGTACACACACTTAAATGATACGGAAAATGCTTTCTGAAATTAGCCTCATCTTGTGTGAAATTTAAAGGGTGTCTTAAGGTGCTTTAAAACAAAACAAAACAAAACAAAACCTTGCAAGTGTGGGCCAGTTAGCTGGTACTTATGAGGAACTCAGACACTGGTGGTAGGAAGAGACCGTCAGGATCTTCCTAATCAGCTTTTATTAGCACCTAAATGTCCTAACAGTAGTGAGAAAAATGGGGATGACTGTGCACTGTGTACAAATCTCAGGGCTGCTTACAATGAAGCCCCAACTCAAAGAGACCTCCTCAAATCATAATTTTAGGTCACCTTTGTTTGGTTGCTGCCTTGAGAGGATTTATAGTATCTGTGACTTATTATGGATGCCCTATATTTGGAGACCTGAATTTTGAACTAAGCAATAAACACACATAAGGTTCCCATGTTAACTATGTGTGTTACCCCCTGCTTGCTTAGTTCTGCTTTTTATAATCACAGACTTGGTAAAACCAAGTCCTTTTTGCATCTGTACTAAGATAAATTGCTTCTTATAAAAGCTTTGATTCAGGTCTTAATGATAAATATGTTTCCCTATCCTGGCACTTAGACCAGTTATATTTATGAAGTGAATATCAAAATTAGGCACATTTCATGTGCTTTGAGAAAAAAAAAATATGTCGAGGAATCCTGTCTTCAAAAGAATATCACTTGAAAATCTAGTATGTGAAAAAGATAAAGAGGGAACTGCTATTTATGAGGAAGGGTGGGGAATCTGGCACCCTGGTGGATTGGTACCTGGTTTGGTAACCTCTAGAGCAGTGGGTTTCAAACCCGAATGAAACACCTGGGACCATGTTAAAATGAAGATTCTGATATAGCAGGTAAGAGGTGAGACTAAGACTTTATGCTTCTAACAGTGTCTCAGGACGTTACTGGCTTAAAGACCACACTTTGAATAGCAAAGCTCTAGGCTCCTCCTTGTAACTTCTACAGATGGAGGAGCTTTGTAAAGCACAGTGCCAACCGAATGAGAATAAAAAATACAGAAGTAAATTTTAGATGAGGCTTCTTATAGGCAAACTTGATGTGTTGTAGTTTAACTTAGAAAAAGGTATTATTTTTATTTTACTTTATTTCATTTAATTTATTTTATTGTTAGTAATCATTCATTTTAATATTCTTTGCTTTCTAAATTCTTAAGACAAATTTTTTTTCCATATAAAACAATTTAGAAAATAGAGAAAAGGAAAAATGATTCATGATTCTTACTCTAATACCTTTAATATTTGGAGTACACTTCCTTTTATCACACTCATAACCAGCACTTCACATGCTACCCCGTGGACATTAACGTATTTAATAAAATTCCCCCTTAATTTGAGGCATTTAGGTTTTCTCCTTTAATTTCTGCTTTATGATTTGTTGAGTGACCCATTGACTGAGGTTTGGTTTACCTGTGTTATTGCATATAAAACAAGAATTGGCAAACTATGTCCTGTGGGTGAAATCTAGCCCGCTGTTTTTATAAATAAAGTTTTATTGGAACAAAGGCACATTTATTTGTTTATGTATTGTTTGTGTCTTATTTCATGCTACACTGTCAGAATGGCATAGTGATAGACCATCTAGCTCACAAACCTAAAAACTTCAGCTTCTGGTCCTTTTCAAACTAGTTTACCGAGGCTTGGTATTGAAGAACATGTGCTGTACTTTCCAAAATACTATTCTCTTACTGGATTTAAAATATCCAAAATCTTTCATGGTTTCTGCATCAGTCTTTATTTAAAAGCATCTTCACATTATAAAATTTTAAAATCTGATGTTCAAGTTGCATTCTCCTTTCAGCACTTCTAAACCATCTAGTGATCTTCTGGACCTCCAGCCAGACTTTTCTTCCGGAGGGGCAGCAGCAGCCACGGCACCAGCACCAGCACCACCTTCCGGAGGAGCCACTGCGTGGGGAGGTGAGTGAAAGCAGACAGTCGTGTCGTCTTTCTGTTTAGTTGTTTTTACTCAGGCAGTTATTGTTATACTTACCTTTAGTTACCCAAAATGTTGCCAGGAACTTAGAAAATGCCAAGAATGGCATCTATCGATTTAAGTATCTATTGAGAGAGACAGAAAAAGTACCTATAGTACAGTTAAAATGTTCAGGTAGTCATATGGTTTTTATTTTAAGAGTTGGAAAAAGGCAGTATTTTTCTTTGCTATTCTAAACCTCTGATTATTTTGGGGGGCACCTGCTGGCTCAGTCAGTTAAGCATCTGACTCTTGGCTTCGGCTCAGGTCATGATCTCATAGTTTGTGGGTTTGAGCCCCATATTGGGCTCTGCACTGACACTGTAGAACCTGCTTAGGATTCTCTCTCTCACTTTCTATCTTCCCCTCCCCTGCTCACACTCTCACAAATAAGTAAATAAACTTTAAAAATAAAATAAAATTCTAATTATTTTTAATAATTGTTTTCTAAAAATTCAGGCATTAGAGAATTGGGTGTTCCCATGAACAGCACTTGTAATTTAATTTGTTCAGGTGTAACCTCCTTCCTGGATTACTTTTATACCCACATTGGTTTTAATTCATAGTGGATTTAAGTTCAGCCAGTTGAAATCTGGGATAGATTCTTGTTTGTGCCAGAAAAGATCCATGCTAAACTAACTGAGAAGAATTTCATCTAAGTGCTTGATTCCCATTTTATTCATGGATTGTAGAAAAATTAAACTTTTATAAGTATTTGATTAAAAAGCAAATTAAATAATAATGAAAAATAAGTTAATTACTGCATAATTCTTAGTGCTGCACAGAGTTGGTTTTGAATACCTTGCACTATTGCACCAAACTATCAAAATAATTTTTTTAAGTTTAAAAGTGATTCGTACAACTATAGGAACAACACGGAGGGAATAACATAAGTAATGTAGTGTAACAGGAGGTGCCCCATCATAGCTCCCCACACACAGAAAAAGTAATTTGGCAACCATCCGTGAACAAAGTGCCTTTGTGGGAGCTTCGGGATCCAGGTAGGAGGTTGCAAAACCCCACTGGAGCCTAATACCAAAGGAGGTTGTTTTAAGAAGGCAGGCCTACGCCCACATAGGGGGCTCACCACCCTTCCTCCTGGCTACAGACCTGGAAACACCACCATGCCTCTGTGGACACATTTATAGTCCTGTTTGGCATTGGTCCTGCCATCAGCAACATCAGCAAAGGGACCTAGGAGGAGCCATGCTTGCCCTTGCCTCGGGTAACATGTCTGCTGACCTTGGTCTCAGCTGTCGATTCTGAAATGGCCTGTGACCCAGCTCCAGACTCTCTCAGTCATGGTCTGGGTGCAGTCCTGCCTGCACAGGAATCCAGCAAGAGACACACCTGTCTGTGCCCCCAGAGGCAGGCCCAGTGACCTTAGTCCAACCTCAGATCCTGAAGCAGTCCTGTGACTCAGCTCCAGATCTGCCCCACATAAGGGAGCATTCCTGCCCACGCAGGGACCCTATGGGAGACAAGCCCATCTGTGTCCCTAGAGGCGGACCTGCCAACCTTGGTCCCAACCTTGGTCCCTTGTCTCCATGAGCAGCCCTATCATTTCCCAGCCCCACCCAGCTATGGTCCAGGAGTAGACCTGCCTGCCCAGGGACCCCATTGGAGCCACACCTATCCATGCACTTGCCATCTTTGGACTCAACTGCAGACCCTAAAGTGGACCCTTGTCCCAGTTCCAGCGCTACTGACCAAGGTCCTGAAGGTCCACTCAGGGATGAGGCAGAATTGGAAACCATCCAAGCCCCTGGCAAGAGGCCCACCAACCATGGACATCATAGTATACCCAGCAGGTAGCCACATGACCCAGCTCCAACTCCACTCACCTGTGATTCTGTTCTGATACTCTAGGCAATGTCATTAGCCCAGAGCAGGTGAAAGTCTTTACCTGCCAAAATGAGTCCTTGGAAGAGCTGTTTACTTCTTTAAATTCACAAACACCGACACAAGACTACATGGATCATAAAGAGTCAGGGAAACAAACATGATACCACTAAAGGAAACTAGTAACATTCTTAATAACTGACCCTGAAGAAATGGAGATTTATGAATTGCCTGACAAAGAATTAAAAGTAATCATCTTAAAGAAGCTCAGTGAGATGCAAGAGAACACAAATAGACAACAAAACAAATCAAGAAGACAATACATGAGTAAAATGAGAAGTTTAATAAAGAGATAGAGGCCATAAGAAAGAACCAAAGAAAAATCCTGGAGCTATAGAATATAATGACAGAACTGAAAAACTCAATAGAGAGCTTCAACAGCAGACTTAATCAGACAAAATAAAGAATCAGCAAACTCAAAGATAATTATAAGATAGCAGTTAGAACAACAAGAAGGAAAAAGAGTGAAGAAGGCATATGGGACCTATGGATGCTATCAAATGAATGAATGCATGCATTGAGGGAGTCCCAGAATGAAAAGACAGAAAAAGAGGGGCAGAAAGATTATTTAAGGAAATAATGACTAAAAACTTCCCAAATTATATGGACATGGGTATGGATATTCATATTCATGAAGTTCAAAAGTCCCCAAGCAAGATCAACCCAAAGAAGACACAATATAATCAAATTGGCAAACATCAAAGATGAAAAGAAAAACCTAAGAACAGCAAGAGAAAAGCTACTTGTCACATAGAAAAGAACCCTGATAAGGCTATCAGCACATTTTTTCAGCAGAAACCTTGCATGTCAGGAGTAAGTAGGATGATATACTCAGAATGCTGAAAGAAGGGGGAGTAAAAAACTTCAGCCAAGAGTACTATACCCAGCAAAGTAAAAAGATCAACCCATCAAGATGATATAACAGTTGTAAATATATATACACCAAACATTGTAATACCTAAATGTATAAAACAAATATTAACAGAACCAAGGGGAGAAATAGCCATATTGTAACAGTAGAGGACTTTATTATGCCACTTTCAACAATGGATAAATAATCTAGGCAGAAAATCAATAAAGAAATAGTAGGTTTGATAACACCTTACTCCAAATGGGCTCAACAAATATATACAGAACATTCCATCCAACACAGAAGAATATACATTCTTCTCAAGCACATATGGAACACTCCCCAGGATAGATCATAAGTTATGACACTTACCAAATATTAACAAATTAAAGAAGATAGAAGTCATATTGCTAACCTCAGTGATAGAAACTAGAAATTAGTAACAGAAGGAAAATTGGAACATTCACAAATATGTGGAGATAAACAATATACTCCTGGACAACCATTGGGTCAAAGAAGAAATCAGAAAGAAATCAGAAAATATCTTGAAACAGATGAAAATGGAAACATACCAACACATATAGGATTCTACAAAAGCAATTCTCAGAGGAATGTTTATAGTGTTAAATGCCTACATTAAGAAAAAGAAACATCTCAAATAAACTATATAGCTTTATGCCTCAAGGAACTAGAAAAAAGAACAAACTAATCCCAAAGTTAGCAGAAGAAAGGAAATAATAAAGATTAGAGCAGAAATAAATGAATAGAAATTAGGAAGACCATAGAAAAGGTCAGTGAAACTAAGAATTGATTTTTTTTAATAAACAAAATGACAAACTTTTAACTAGACTCACCAAGAAAAAAGCAAGGATTCAAAAATGAAATAATAAATGAAAGAGGAAACATTACGGCTGATATTATAAAACTACAAAGGGCCATGAGAGACTACTATGAACAATTATATGCCATCATATTGGATAACCTAGAAGAAATGAATAAATACCTAGAAACATATAATTGACTGAGACAGAACCATGAAGAAATAGAAAATCTGAAGAAATTCACAATGAGCAAGGAAATTGAAGCATGAGTCAAAAATTCCCAACAAAGAAAAACACATGATAGCTTCACAAGTGAATTCTACCATTTCAACAAGAATGAATGTCATTACTTCTCTAACTCCTCAAAAAAATTGATATGGAGGCAACACTTCCAAACTCATTTTTTGAAGCCAGCATTATCCTCAGACCAAAGCCAGATGAGGACCCTCCAAGAAAAGGAAATTACAGGCCAATAATCTTGATGAACAAAAACACAAAAATGCTCAACAAAATATTAGCAAACCAAATTCAGTAGCACATTAGAAGGATCATGCACCATGATCAAGTGGAATTTATCCCTGGAATGCAAGGATGGTTCACTATATGCAAATCACTAAACATGGTACATGGAAATCATATGATTTCAGTAGATGCAGAAGAAGCATCTAACAAAATTCAACATCCTTTCATGATAAAAACTCTTAACAAATTATATGTAGAAGGAATGTACCTCAACATTACAAAGGCCTTATATGATGTGCCCACAGCTAACATCATAGTGGTAAAGCTGAAACTTTTTCCCTTAAGATTAGGGACAAGGCAAAGATGACCACTCTCCACTTCTATTCAGTGTAGTGCTGGAAGTCTTAGAGCAGTTAGGCAAGAAAAAGAAATAAAAGGCATCCAAAAAGGAAAGGAAGAAGCAAAATCGTCTCTGCAGATGACATAATCTTGTATGTAGAAAACCCTACAGACTCCACCAAAAAACCGTTAGAACTAATAAATGAATTCAGTAAAGTTGCAGGATACACAGGCAACATACAAAAATCAGTTACATTTCTATACACTAACAACAAACTATCTGAAAAAGAAATAAAGAGGACAGTCCCATTTACAGTGGCGTCAAAGGAATGGAATACTTAGGAATAAATTTTCATCAAGGACATGAAAGATCTTATACACTGAAGTGCTGTGAACATTGATAAGAGAAATTGAAGAAAACACAAATAAATGGAAAGATATTCTGTATTGAGGGATTGGAAGAATTAATATTGTTAAAATGTCCACATTACCTTTTTTTAACCCCTTCCAAGATTTTATTTAAATTCAAGTTAGTTAATATATAGTGTAGTATTGGTTACAGGGGTAGAAT